ACAGTCTAGAGCCCCAATTCACCCTCCAGGCACTGCCTCGCCGCTACTACCATCTCACAAGATGAATATGGGCAAACGTGGTCGGTCTCCTCATGCACAGCATGACTCCCACCGCAGACAGCGAAAGCGCTGGTCCCATCCCTTGAGGGACTGAGACCTTACAGGTCTACAGTCTCCCCCTTTCTGGATTATACCTTAGCTCAAGGCCATGAGTACGTCTCATTGAAACCACCAGTATAGCCAGCAGCTATATATAGGGAATAAACACGTCATATATCTAGATAATAGAAGGTTACTACTACCCAATCAAACAGTATATGAACAGCCTACATAAAGACCACGTGATCACCCATGGCCCCAGATTTTTGGGGATAGGTAGTAGAGACTAAACAAAGACAACTATCTCAAAATAAGGCGTCTTAATGCTTGCTATCAAGCACGTACTCAGTCTAGACACAAACGGTTATGATTATAACGTGCATTGGTAATAACTCCCAAGCTACAAACTATTGCAAAATGGCTAGACCGCCCTCATCCATACATACTCGTTGAAAGGCACACAAAAGCAGTCAAGATTACATGCATCTATCGGATGACAGATGATGCCTCACACAGAAGGTCACTACTTCAACAACGACTTATTTTTATCCTCTCCGTCAGCGGGTTTAGCCATGTCTAGACCACCATCAATTTCTCCACTGGAGACAGTGGTATTGCAGGCGTCCTCCTCCACAGCGGACAAGATGCTAGTATCATTCCCTACCTCCTCAGCAGACACCGCAGAAGGATCAAACCACCGGCCAAGCCGGGGTTGAAAGGAGGGATCAATGGTTCCCACAGACAGTTCCTCAAGGAGGTGCTTCCTGAACTTAGAGATAGAGTTAATCGTCCAGGAAGAGCGCTGGTCAATACGCCCTTGTAGCAGCAAGGTCCTCACTCCTGCACAAAGGTAGACACCACAATCATAATCATTCTCTTGTTGGTCAAAGACATTACCCAAATAGGTCCAGGGGGCACCAGAGGGAGGACAGATCCCAACGTGCTGTAGCCACTCCAAGATAGGAGCAAGCTGCTCTTCCTGATAAGCATCACCCTCTCCCCACATGGAATCACCTTCAACAACAGTCCAGTCCTCCTTATCGACTGCACAGAATAACCAATGGTCAACGTCATGGATGGGAAAAAGGAGAACTCGCGCGCGCCGGACCGCCTCTAGACCAGCGGCATAACCATCCAAGGCCGCCGCCACACTAAAGCTTTCTTCCCGCAGCAAGGTGGTAAAGATAGGATCGACCAGAGCCACACAAGACCGAGCAGCGGTAGGGAGAGCGGAGAGTAGAAGATGAGCATACCCCATGACCTGAACTACCTCAAACTCAGCCTCACGGTTTCTCATCCTTGTATGGTCACCCTCCTCCAGCATATAAGACAGGGGACCCCATGAGGGTATTTCTCCTTGCCAAAACTGCTTACGGCGGTAGGAGAGAAGGATATTGCGCTTGAAACTATCAGAAGTGGAGGCAGGAAAGACTTCCGCAGAAGGGACCTGGCGGAGCTTCCCCAGATCCTCAACAAGGTGGACATCAAGCAAGGAAAGGTCGGGAAACGCAGGGGATTTGTCTAAAGAAACGGCAGTGGCAGCAACAGAAGCAGCATTGGCCTTGGCTTCTTCAGCAGCCAGCTTCTCCCGAGCAGGCTGAAGTATGGACTCTCCATGAGCGTTAGGGAACGGGCTCATCACAGCCTGAATGGCAGCCGAGAAGTCTTGGGGAGGAGGAGTAGCTGGAGAGACACCAGAGGCAGAGGGACCATTAGTTACGTCGACAGGAGAAGGAGCACGGCCAAAGTCCGCATCATTACCACACGCAACAGAGGTCTCTCCGGACCCTTGATCAACTGGGACCTCGCTAGAGTCGGCTAGAGAGGCAGGACCTTCAACCATTTTGTCTACAACCAGTCAGATGGATTACAACCATGCAAAGAAAACACCGAAAGCATCGCATTGAAAGAGGAGGACTAAAACAAACTGCACTAGGGCTTACCATCGACAGCAGCAGCAGGGGCAGGGTCTAAAACTTCACCAGAAGCATCCACAGGCGCAGAAGGCCGCGAGGCAGGCTCCCCCTGAATTGGAAGAGAACTAGACTGCTCCCCATAGCGCAAGAAGTTGGCAAGAAGGTCTAGAGATGGATTAGCGCTTGGTAGATGAAGATCACCAGACGGATAACACTCACCATCATCTTCGTCGACATTAGAGGACTCGGACTCGACAGGGACAGCACGACGGCGACGAGCGGGACGGCCTCCAGCCGCAGAACGACTATTGGCGCCACTAGACTGCTTCTAGGTTCTCTTTCTTAACGAAAGAGCGGGCACACCCCGAGGAGAAGCGGTAGACTCAGGGGACTCAACAAAGACATTCACTCCCTCCCTTCCTGGAGGGGAGGCAGGGCGAGGACGAGAAGAAGCGGTTGTGGCAGCAGGGACATTGTTGGAACGGCGAGACTTGCCAGCATTAGTGCGACCGGAGCGACGGGGAGCCTCAGCAGTGGCAGCAGCTTCATCAGGGGCATCACTTCCCTCTCCTCCTTCATCACTAGGGGCAACCATTTCGTCATTATCATCCTCATCCTCTTCCTCTTGGACCGCGGCTAACTCGGCCTCAAGACGGCGGATCTTGCTCTTCAAACTGTCAATCTTCACCTCCAGGCTGGCCCGATATTTTTCGTCCTTTCTCTTGTCCTCCTTTCTCACAGCAACAAGGCCTTGGCGACTACATGCATCTCGAATCCATGCCAGCTGTTCTGGCTGGCTAGCGGGCACAACCTCTATCTGTCTAGTCTGGGAATCAGAGACGAAGTAGCCTGTTCCTTTCAAGATGTCTCTAGCAGCATTCACAGCCTGAGAGACAGTGGTCTGCACCAGACGGAGATCTCGGCGATTGGGAGCAGTCTTGCGCTTATCTGGGTCTAATTCGACATTAGCTCTGTCTAGACAAGCAATAAGGTAGCTATTGAACTCACTGTGATCACAGTCGCGAGCCATTCGCCGATACCAGCAGCAAGTGCAGGCCCGGGAGGTGGTGGACGTGCTATAGTTTGGGATGGTACAGACAGAGAACCAGCCAGCACGCACACAACAGGAACAGCGGAATGGAGCGGGCTCTGAGACCATCTGAAGGATGAGATAGATATGGTCACCTGGCTGCTGATTGGTCTTGACAGCATTAACCCAGTCTAGAGCCTTGAAGACAGTCTCTGGGGTCCATTTAGAGACTACCTGCTCCCTGGCAGTGTCAGAAACTTTCAAGGTGCGACCAGGAACCCTCTGACCATTGCAGGACTGACTGATGGTGATCTCCTTACCCTCCAGCCTTGGTGGGTCACACGCAAGACGGAGATCAGGATTGGGGGCTTGGGCAGCCTTTTCAGCGACGGTAGACATGGCGATGGCAATGAAAGTGCTTGAATTTGACAGCAGAGACACGGAAAAGCTTGACGAAACAGATTTGAAGCGACTAGAGGGAGCTAGAGCGACGAAAAGGGAAGAAGAAAAGAAAATGCGAATGGAGATGATTTGGTGGGGATATATACTTACTCCAACACACCACTACACTACGGTTGCCAAGGTGATACGAGACACACGGCGGGACAGTCGAAACAAACGACAATGGTCGCGATCAAAGGGAATACAAACGAAGCGATGCATTCAGAAGGACTAGAGACGTCTAGCATCTAGCTACAAGATGGACAGGGTGCAGACTTACAGCAGCCATCAAAGGAGAACAAAGGAACAGTGCTAAACGCACTCAATCGGGAACAACAAGGTATACGAGTTCGTTCTGCATGCGGTCGCTTGCAGAACTCGTTGGACCACCATTTGTGACGTCACAAACCAGAGTTGGCCATATTCCGTCACTAAGACGAGAGACTATGACAAAGAATAGACACCACAGGTGTCTAGTCTCGTCTAGTGGGCTACAAAGGAGATGTACCAACGGAGATACCCCTTTTACGCCCCCGAGTAGTATATATACAGTACTAGAGTCATGTATTCTACAACAAACAATCTATCTACAATCTTATTAACATACCCCTACATTTTGCTCACTGTAAGTGAATACCAGGCTTTAGCCTTTAACCAAGAGCAGTGCTCTTCCTTCACCTCTCCATAGAGATGCTCTAGTTGAGTCTAAGACTCAACTTACGCTCCTATTGGACGTGACTGATGCAGGTCAGTGGCAGACCTTTAACATTGCGCCACTAGAAGAGGTTCTTCCGCCCCTTCTGGGATCTTTCCCAGAATCGACCTCACAAATATATAGCATAAACAGAATAGGAGAGATAGGCGACCCTTGAGGTAGACCGCGTTTCAGAGAGTATGAGTCGCTATAGTGGTGGTCGAGTAGCAGAGAAGCAGAGCGTTTAGTCATAAAGCTATGTACCCAGCTGACAATATAAGCAGGCCATCCCTGAGTAAGAAGTCGGTACCGAAGACGTCCAGGCATAACGGCGTCAAATGCCCCTTTGACGTCCATGGTCAGTACTGTGGAAACTTTTTGTTGTGACCAAGCGAATTCAATGTCATGAGTGAGGCTAGTAGTAAGGTCGGCAGCAGATCGTAAAGGAAGTGCCCCAAATTGACGTGGACCGACAATGCGGTGGTGAATAGATAACCAGGCCATTCGCTTAGCCAAAACGCGTTCAAGACCTTTCCCTAGAACAGAAAGCAGAGATATAGGGCGGTAGGATTTGGGTGAGAGCTTGTCTCGCTTGCCACTCTTAGGCAGCACGATCATAGTGCAGTGATGAAACGGCTGAGGGTGGTGCCCGAGCTCTAGACAAGCTTGAAAGAGAGAGTAAATTCTAGGAAGCAGTTGCGGCCATCCAAGCTTGAGAAGGGCAACTGTTATGCCGTCAGGACCAGGACTAGTAGACTTAATATTGATACAGGCTTTAGTAATCTCATGCGCAGTAAGAGCAGGACCAAATGAGATAGGTGCCGGTAGAGACGAAGGTAGACAGTCATCATCAGGGGCAAGACCACTGGGGTTGGTGAAAGTCTCCATCAGAAGATCTTGTTTCTCTGAGAGTTCATGGCGAATAGTACCAGTCTGATCTTTTAATGGACAGAAGCCAGTCCGTTGTGGGCGCAGTTTCCAGCTGGCAATGCGAAGAATATCAGGTGTTGATGACAGAGAGTCAATGCATTCACGCCAGCTATCATTGCGAGCTCTGGCAATATTTCGACGAAGGTTGCGTCGGGCTAACCGTAAGCGTAGATGTAGTTCCGGTCTGAAATTGGAAGTTGAGGTAGCATAGAGCTCCCGGAGTACTGATTTAACGAATTTGTGTGCTTCAGTGCAGCCTGAATCCCAGTAGTGCAGCTTGGATCGTGGAGGCCGACGTTCTTTGGCTGTTTGAGTAACCGTTGCAGTGATGGCGTTACTGAGTGTCAGGGCTTCAGCGTCCAAATGATCGGTATCAATCAGGGGAAGGGGGGGGCGAAGCAAAAGGTTATCATGTAGCCGGGAGGTAAAACACACAGGGTCGATAGATGCAATATTGTATCGAGGAGGGCCTTGCTGGAGAGATGTTGGTGAAGGGGAGAAAGGTACCGAGGTGACCAAAGGACGATGATCAGAGCCGCAGTCCAAAGAATAAGCAATGTCAGTAGTTGGACCAAAAGGCAGAAGAGCGGGTGTGCACCATGCCATGTCCAGTATACCCCCAGCGTCATGTGTGGGTTCAATACCTGTACTGAGCCAGGACAGTAAGTGTTCCTCACCCCATTCACGCCATACGCGAACAGAGGGTGCAGGTGACCCAGAGCGAATATCCCATGGACCGTAGGCAAGATTGAAGTCGCCTGCAATTAGCCAATTGAGAAAAGGAGGATTGTCTGCACATAAGGCAGTGAGAGCAGATGGAGATAGGGCTGAGGTTGGGGGCGGATGATATAGGTTAGATATCGTAAGGCGAAGCGTTGGTGAGAGTGTGCAATGTAAGTGAAGCAGATCTCGGGGTACAGGGCTAATATAGTGTGCATAAGGTATATTGGAGGCAATACGGATATAGGTAGCAACTCGCGGACGCATTTGCCAGGCGCCAGAGGCAATAAAGAGTTGATAGGCTGGATGACATCGTGTGCGCATGAGATCGAGATCTGAGTGAATCCAAGGTTCTTGAATGAGGATGATGTCAACTTGTGATAGTGCACATGAAGAGAGAAATGTATCGTGATATGCAGAGCAATGTTGTACATTGCATTGGGCGATCGAAAGAGTAGAGGATGTAGCAATCATTTTTTAAGAACGCTGGTTTACACCAGACATATTCAGATCAGCAGGCAGCTGTGTGTCGGCGTTGTCCATGTCGCAGTCCAGGGGTTCAGGGGCAGCTAGCTCATCTGAAGCTGGTGAAGGTGAGACTGAACTGAGGGTACGGTTGCGCAATTGCTTTTGGTTTTGTTGTATACGGATAGCTTTTTGTTCTTGTTTAGAGTAGGGGACACGACGGCCATTTTGATAGCGAGGTCTCAATGGGCAGTGTTCGTTGGTAGCAGAGTGAGGGCCGTGGCAATGAAGGCATTTGGAGTCAGTTCCTTTGTGTTCTGAGGTCAAGTGGTCGAAGGAGCTGCATTGAGCGCAACGAGGAGGTCGGCTGCAGCCACGGGGATTGTGGTATTCCCAGCAACGGGTACATTGATGTGTTTTAGGATGCGTTTTAGCTTTTACCAAGGAGAAAGAGAGGTGGAATAGTGTGATGTCTCGACGAGGGTGGACGAGACCAGCAGGAAAGGTAACAAAGAGAGTGCCAGTATTTGAGTCTAAAGGTTGCTTGCTGGCAAAGCGTACAGACAGAGGTTGGTGTCCTATAGCAGCAGCCAGTTCTTGTGCCCATTGATGAGATGAAAATGTGTCCGCCGCTTGATGTGGGGGGGTCAGTGGTGCATAAGGCACAATAAAGGTATCTCGAGGAACCTGAGGTTCAACTATAAGTGCATTAAGAGCCTGTTGAATAGCAGGAGCAGCGTCAAGAAGTGCAGTGCGGCAGGCATTGTCTTTTGGAATAAGGGCAAATCCAGTAGGGATAACTTGAACAGATCTGATGTGGGATGCGGTAAGAGTAGGGGATGCAGCTTGAACTGCATTGATGAGTGCACTGTTGCATAACTGGCGAGTGTCTGAATCATGGGCGAGACGAATCATGATGCGCATGTCTTTAGAGACAGGATTTGGAGAGGAGCGTTGCGCAGAGGTAGATGTAGCTGAAGAGATAGGGGTACGATTTTGTTTAGCGAGTTGTGCCCACGAAGCTGGAGCTGGAGGCTTCGGAGGTAGGGTGGCTTGTTTGACTTGAGAGGAGGGAGCCGAATTGGGTTTAGTATAGTGAGTGAGCCGGTCAACAATGGTTTTTCGCACAAGTTGAAGAGTGTCTTGAAGGTGAGGAGACTGGGATAGGCGAGAGTCATGAAAGTTGTCAAAGTGTATGGCAAGTTGGTGATAAAGATCTTGGTGTAATTGGAGGTCGGACAATGCAGACTGATTTTTTGCAGAGATTTCAGTTTCGAGCGGGAGACAGTGTTTAGAGGGGGGTGAAGGGGTGAGGGTAGGGCGGGGGGTAGGTGAGTTGGAGATGGTGCTGGTAGAGGGTAAAGGCTCTTGAGAGGCCAGCCTCATTGATTGGGAGCGTGTGGTTACGCCCATCATCCAATTTGAGTTCAGGTTGAGAGGTGTGTTGTAGATGTTGTTGCACCCCCATTGGTCTACGTACAGTGTTTACAATATACGGTGGGGCCCATCAGTCGCCATGGTGTATGTAGATAGCTGGTCCCTGGACACCACAACCGCAGTACACACGCGCAACTGACGCGATAACCTGTAGGGAGGTGGCACGGCAAACTTCTGCTTTCATCAATAATCGAGACCAAGATAGTTATGATCAAGAGAGCTATTCTTCCAACCTATGTTAAGCCGGAAACGTTCAATGTGGCAGGGTTATAGATGAAATAATGCTGCGCGGTCTCAATACCTTCAATACTATAGACACAGTTCTTCTGCTAGGTTGGACTTGACATCGAGACCTGCTGCACGAACTTTCTGCATGTACCTCCTCACATACATAGCACAAGAGGAAGAAGCAACATGGACGCCTTGGGAGACTGGCTGCGGCCACTAGTTGAAGCTGCTCTTTCTAAATGCTTGTCGCTCGACTTACCTGAAGGTCGGGAGTATATACGCTACCAGAAATTGCAGCCAAGTACCGCTGATGCAGATGTTCAAGTATTTACATTGCGTGATACTCGTTGCTTACAGATCACAAAGGTGTGTAGCTGTTCGGGTCTCCTCCACATACGAAAAGATATATGCTGAGTATGTGCATTGTAGTGGCGCACCTCTGAACCACCGTATCATGCAGTCATTTCCGACTCTTACACGCGCATCAAAGCTTCTTTTTCAAGGGATGCCATCCAGAACTTCGTCATTGAGCTGCAGAAACCTCTGGCTCGTGGCACCAGGGGCGCAATCATAACTGTGCATGAATTCGACTTGATTATAACTTGTCCGAAGGAGGAGGAGGAGGGGCACGACAATGATGATGACGAGAGCGATGACGATGACGATGATCATAATGATCATATCGAAAACGCGCTTACAATTGTCATCAAAGATTTTGAGTTGGAAGGAAGTGAGGGCTCTCGTGAGTTCGGAAAGCCACAGAATATGACAGCAATATCCTCCATTAGAACATTACTCAGAAGGCTATTTGCTCAGAGGAAAAGACAGGGAACTGATCATGGCATCGGGCCTGTTAATGAGAAATTTGTCATACGCGAGGATGTGACTATCCCACACGATCAAGAGAAGACTCTTTTTCGTACCCAAGCCTGGCAGGATTCTTTCAACTTGGACTCTGAACCACCCGTGCCTCTAGAGATCCTGCAACGATGGGATAACATGGTCTTTGAGCACGTTCGAGAAAAGATGGATATGATGAGTGTGGATAGGAAATCACCTTCTCTAGACATCACCTCCAGTATGCCTTTGGGATCTCAAGAGAAGCCATACCAATTGTCGGACATAGAGTCTCAACTATCGTCTGTTTCTGGCGATGAGCAAGACCATCAGGAGAGCGATGATGCCGCTGACTTCTTACCCCCTGACACCCCCTAGGACATGACGACTGTTGATTCGTTGCGTTTACCATATCCCTTGCATGTCCCATGTAATCTAGATTATCGAATACTTTGACACTCAATTTATCATATTCATCCCGTAGCTCATTTCTGTGAACAAAATTAGAAAATCGAGAGCCTTTCTAGACAAAAGCAGAGAGGCGCAAAAATCGTGAAAAAGAAAAAAAGAAATTATACAAGGGTCTTGCCGCGGATCGAACGCGGGGCCTCTCGCATATTTAACTCAGGGTGAACCCTAAGCGAGAATCATACCACTAGACCACAAGACCTTGTTATTTGCTTTTTTTGAGCCCAGTACTATCATGACGACAAGACTTGATTTCTTACCATCATTGTCGTCTTCTTAGTATAAAATGGTACAACCTGTCTCGTATCATTGTCTAGGCCATCCTTCAATGTTGAACGGTGTCCTAACTGGACATCATTGAGAGTGGGACAGAAAATAGTACAGAGTAACAAAGTTACGAAATGGAATCCCTCTCATGTGCCGGCACGTCACTTGAATCAGGCGATGGAGGGACTCGGTGCGTCCAAGCGGGGCTTTTGTCTTGGAGCTACTTCGTACACTGAGAGAGTTCATGTCAGCTGTCAGACGGGCACTCCTAATCTTGTTTGGGCCGCTTGTATATAAGATATTGTTTATTGAAGGTGGCTTCAGCGTCCTTATACTCCCCGGATTATCAAAGGTGGAGCACGAAAGGCCTGATCATGTCGAGAATTGTATCTCAGAAGCAGGCCATCGTCGTCGTCGGGTGAGGAGAAACATGGCCTGCAAAGTCCCCGGGGAGGTTATAGACTGCCCCAGCTCTACAGCTCGACTAATCAAATTTATCTAGTGCTGGCGTCATAGGCTTGACTTCAGCTCTAACGCTTTTACATACTCTACCTTCAGAGTCATACGCCGTCTACCTTCTAGCAGAAACATTCCCGACAGATGTAATCGCAACCCCTGATCCGGATCCTTCCTACGCCACGACTCTTGCAGGAGCACATTTCAGACCAATTCCTGCTGTATCGCCACAATTGAAGCACGAGGCCCAACTTGCAAAGAAGACTTACGAGACATGGAAACGTGTTGCCCGGGATGCCCCTGAGATGGGAGTGCGAATGTGTGAAGGAATTGAGTTTATTGATGCAGGTGCTCCTGCTTTGCGGGATTATCAGGCGCTGGAGAGGGAATATGTTGGACAGGAAGGTTTCAGGCTCATCGATATGCGTGATGTGAAAGGACCCGGTGGCCCCCAAAAAAAGGAAGGAAGCGAGATGCTTGGGGCGTCTATACCCGACGGAACAGCTTTTGGCTGCCGATATGATACGTACACGATCGATACAGAAATCTGTGCTGTGCATCTCTTGCGGCGATTCAGAATCAATGGAGGTTCAGTTATTCGCAAACGTCTTCGAAAAATCGAAGAAGCTTTCGAAGCTATACCAGCCGACAAACGAGCAGGAAATATCCCACTCGTCATCAATTGCTCCGGGATGGGGTTTGATGATCCATCAACTTTTGTTATTCGT